TACGTTTTCAAGCATCCTGGGCCTGTCATCAAAAGTTCACGGAACTCTCGCGTATATTTTTAACTATTCCCGAAAAACAAGGCCGAGAAGTTGAATGTCACCACTTTTTGAAATCAGTTTGTTGCACTAATATAATTCTATGATAAATTAGTGGGACATGACAAGCAATATTATTGCAATCAATGTTTTAGCGGGCAGGCATGAGAATCAGTCAACAAAGACAGTCTTATTTTGTTTGAATAAATATGGCTCAACGCGGGGTTCAACAGCGCGAAAGTTAATAACATTCTATCCTGCTTGCCACCCTGAAAAAAATTAATGTTAATTAATCCAACTATTTAAGGGAGTGGGCACTAAATCAATTAAAACGAAGTTTTCGAAATTTTATAACACTTTACTACAGTATATTTTATTGTTTATACATATGCACATATAAAAATTATTTTAACAATTACTAAGTCGGGKTTCACTGGGATACTAAATAAGAAGTTTGCACTCAAATCAATTTCTGCAGCAATCATTGCTGCCTTCGCCTACGCCTCTTTTACCACATTTTGCCGAAGAAAGGTTTAAAGCCGCCACCAAAGCCACCTCCTAAGCCCTTCAAACCGCCRAGTCCACCGAATCCACCTATACCACCGAAGCTCTTCAGGCCACCAAGTCCACCGAGTCCACCCCAACCACCGAATAAATTACCACCAAAACCGTGACCACCGCCAAGAAGCAGACCCAAACCACGCGCCGAACGTGCTTTTCCGTTTTTATCCGTCACATCCACCACAAATTGGTCYGCATTTTCAATATCCAGTAGGCTAATGGGCGCCGCTTCAGCTACMTCAGCCACCTCCAYAACGGGCACTTCCACCATTGCGACAGGCACAGCACGCGTTTGACYRGCGAAGCAGGCGAAAAAWACMAMAAGAAGCGCACAAATCGTTACTGATTTCATTTTGCAGACTTTTCTAAAGCGTTCACTTTGTTTGATATAATATTATTTCACTAAACGTTACGTGTTCGGGTTGGTTGCGCGCATTCAATACCCTTTATCAACGGTGTCGTATGCAGTTTTGTTGCTCAGAAAGTGCGTGACGGCTTTTATATGGCGCTTTTGCTGCTCGCTGCTGTCGTAATTTCTGATCAATTACTTTCCTAGATCATTTCCCGAACATTGTTACCTACCGACAGAAGTACTCAAACATAATACATAATTACTTAAGTAKATAGATGCTGTGCCTATTTGCATAGTAGCCGAGCAGTGAAGCCACGCCAACATTTCTATCCATGAAATGCATGCTGTGGCTGTCGGAGCGAATCRTAGCACCACGTGCGTTACGGCCAAACTCGGGCGATAATTACCAAACCAAATATTTGCGGACGCATGGACAGCGAAAATACTCGAGCRTGGTCGAAAAAGTAGAAGATGTACTTTCATTCATTGACGCAGCAAACAAAYCATAACTGTAGCCATTTAYAAATTCCCAGTCCAGCGCTCATTGATCATATTCGCCTGTTTCCAGGGTGTTGGCCACAKACCAACATTTGCTCACTCGGCTCAGAGTTTGAGTCGCTGTTCGAAATGAGCACAAATGGTGCTTGCTTTTTGAGTGTATTTCGATATCACTTATGCACTGTTCATTTCACAAGTACATACTTATTTTTGCTATACTTATCGCGGTTTCTCGCTGGTTAACGCGATTATCAAACTGTTATTGGGCGGTAATTGTGATTATCAGGTGAAGTTCATTTTATTTAGTGCCAAATTATTGACTTTGCTAGCCACGCATAATCAATAAAATTATTTTTCTTTGTAATAAATCATCACTCCCTGAGATTTTTCTTATGACTAGGCACATGTCAGTTCTTTTATGTAGTTAGTGGTTGAAGATGTGCACGTGACCTTGAGCTAATATGCTTTATTCATGCGACTTGCTCATTTTAAATGCAATTTGCAACATATTTAATGCTTTGCAAATTGTAATAAATATTTATCATTTGTGAATTAACTTATAATATATATATGTATTTAAAAACGGAGTACTTACCACAAAAGGTCGCAATCTCACTGCAAACTCTTAGAAAAAATTTGCATATGAAATTAGTAGTATCCCCTTGWAAGTATTTCTCACTAAGCTGTATAAAATCAACCAAAGCTTCAGTAATAAATTTGAAAAAACGCGTGGATCGATTTCATCCCGTCAACAGTG